TCTCTCTCTCTCTCTCTCTCTCTCTCTCTCTCTCTCTCTCTCTCTCTCTCTCTCTCTCTCTCTCTCTCTCTCTTTCGCTCGCTCGCTCTCTCTCTCTCTCTCTCTCTCTCTCTCTCTCTCACTCCTACATCGTTTCATATTTATCAATCAAGGGTTCGGTAATCTCTACAACAGTTGGAATGGTTCGTCATTTGCTTGTGAAAGCTTTGAAGCAAAAGCTTATGTAAGGTGCATATTTATCCCAGAAGCATCAATGAATAATACCAAACAACTCAGTCTATTTTTGCTTTCCGAACGACTTTAAATGATATTAAAAAAAGAAAAAAAGAAAAGAAAAATATCCTTTTTATCTTACATAATATATATGTATATCGATTACTGAAAACTGAAGAATTAATCGTCTATATCTATATATATATCACTTTTCTTCTCACAATTTGCACTCCTCTTGAAACACGGACACGCAGTGTATTGGGGAGTTGAACGCTCTTTACAACTGCACGACAATTTCGAAATGACGTTTAGAATCAATGACTAACGCCACAACGATGATCCGCAATTATACACGACGACGATTAACCATCGTCGATAAATTTTACTTTTTCTCCGACGAACAAAATGATACAAAAAAAAAAAAAAACCGAATAGATATGTGTGTCTCTAAAATAGATCTTTCATATTCTTCACTTTTTTCTTTTTTTTCTTTTTTATTTAATTATTATCATCGCTTTTAATAATTTTTTTCTCAAAAAATTGTCCATTTTTCCTTCCTTTCATTATTTTTTTTTTTTTAATGATTCATCTTTCGATAATATATTCAAGTGTTCGTAACATCGCATTTTTACTTTACTTAATACAATAATTAATCATATTATAATTATCAATTAATAAAACTTGTTTCTGTTCGTACTACCTTTCGCTCGTGTATTCTTTCGTTCTCTCTTTCTTCCATACACAATCTCACTCACTTAAAGACTTCTAACCGATAGGTATATTTTCTCTGAAACAATAAGTGGTTTTTTGTCCCTTTCGGAAAACACAAAAATATTCTGTATCAAAACGCCACTTATCGATGTTATCTACTATTATTATCATTATTTATGGATTTAAACACTTCGGATGAAGATGCTGCATTCTATTACGGAACGTTAAGGCATTCGTGAGTGTAACTTGAAAAAAGTACAAAAATAGATGCCACAAAAATCAAAAATGACACGTTTTTTTCAGTTTATTAAAGCAACTCGTTTCGCTATACACCGGCGTGAATCCTACGCTCGCCAATAAGTATTTTAAGAACACACAGCATTCGTGAAAGGAAGGAAATGAGGTTTTTTAATAAACAAATTATTTATAAAAATTATATCATATTCTATCCAAAAATATATCTTCCGCGTATTATCATTTTTAATTTATAATTAAAAAAAAAATTTAATCCTATGTTTTACATTTTCGCAATTTAAACAATCTCGTATCTATATATACACTTCAAATTTCAGTATGCGATATAAAAAGAAAACTTGTAAAATTACAGGCTCGAAGCACAATCGAAATTGTTAAAATTTCACTTATCAAGAACCATTCTTCTTCCTTTCTCACGAATACCGTTATTCTTTTTCGAAGTTTTTCGGTACATTTTTCATTTGTTTCACTAATCGATGTGTGAAAATAAACAAGCCTTACTTCGAGTGTACATGAATATCGTAAGGCAATTGAAATACGTCTACTTGTATCGATAATCGACATTTAAAAATACGAACAAATCAGGCATTCGGTTTTACCAAATTCTATTCAGTACTATCAACACATAGTGATATACCACACGCTTGAGAATGCCCCAACGATTACAACATAGTTCTTTACAGTTTTTCTTCGTTATCTTTATCCACTTTTTACCACAGATAAGATATACTACTGACTTCGTAATATTTCTTTTTCTTCTTTTATCACGGATTCATTTACGCAGCATTTTCATGATCTTTCAGTAAAACATAAAAATGTATTTGTGAGCAACTACATTCTCCATTTTAATATAATATACTAACACTGAGACTTACAACGTCCACGAAAGAAATAAAGTTTGTAAAAATTACTCAAGTTGCCAAATTATATATTTGTATATATGCTCTTGGGAGTATAGTTCTTTTTCAGAAACAAAAACTAAAGAGCATGCGCGAACCCAAATACAGTGTGGCAAAATAATGCATGACTCTGCTAAAAAAAAAAAGCAATTTCATATTTGAAAAGAAAGAATATGATGAATATATAATAAAATATATTTTATATATATATGTACATAATACATATATATATGTGGCGTGTTTGTGTGTATATACATATGTATGTATATATATATATATATATATATGTGTGTGTATATATATATATATATACATTTATATCGAACAGGGAGGTTTCATGATATTAGATGTTTTCGTAAAATATTAAATTATTACGAATCATAAAAATTACAAAATGGAACTAATGCAAGTACAAAATAAAAAATTCTCAAATAGTCTAGTCCTTACGTCTCATTAAACTTTAACTGGAAGAGAAATATCATTGATAAAACTTATACAAGATATTTAGGTTAAACTCATTAATATGCTTTTTAACTATATGCCAGATATTGCAGTATTCACCCATGTTTGATTTGTACTCTATGACTAGCCAATGTATTTCTTGATGCTGCAGGTATCATTATAAACGGAAGAACTGATCATGGGCTCGAGGAACTAATTACCAATTTTCATCTTTTAAATAAAAAGAAATAAAAAAAAATAAAAAAAAAATCAATGAAACTTCATTTTCCTTCTAGCTTCGGTTGTGTTGTTTAAAGTCACGTGCGGTTAAGTATGAAGTGAATTATACAAAATTACGACACAAAGAATTCTTACCCACCGTTTGTTATTTCCTCCTTTAGCCACATCATTTTATAAACCGTCATTATTACTGCCCAACTGTATTTGGTTTGGTCACAATGTTACATCAAATGCACTATTCCTGGAGTCTACCAAACGTAGACTCAAGCTCACCATACATACACACGCCATTTACACATTACATGCATACTTTATACTGATACGTACGTAAAACACGTGTATACTCCGAAGAACACACGTTTTAAACGCACGCACAGCAACAATTGAAGCAAGGCAAACCTTGCTCTTTCTCTCCTATGCACTCACTCTTTCCCTTGCGTTTTCTTCCTCTCTATCTTGTTCTCCCTTTCTCGCTCTCTCTACCTCTCACTCGCTCTTTCTTCCCGCCTACCCCCCGTTCTCTCATTTCACTCTTTCTCAAGGATGGATTCCCTCGAGTACGTCGGAAGCAGCGGACAGATTTTTGGGGCACATCGTGCACGACACACGTTAGTCAATCGGCCATTTGTCGTCGGAGGTCGTGTGTGAATGGCTAAGGGAAATTAGATCGGAGGGTGGTGCTGGAGTGGACGTCGGGGGTTCAAGGTCAACGAGGGCTTGGTGCAGGTGGGCTTGGCCGGGGGTCAGGCTCGCTCACTATGCTGTGTGGTATACCGGTTAATCCAGCAGTAGGAGGAGCTGAAGTAGGGCCTCCAGCCCCACCGCCGCCTACCGTTGGACCCGTGGGGCCTGTAGGACCCCCGGCGCCTGCACCGCCTGCAGAGGAGTTCGGTCCGCCACCACCCCCACCACCACCGCCGCCGACGACGGAATGCCCACCAGGAGGTGGGGGTGCAGAATCGTGAGGAGTCGTTGAATGCGCCTGTTGAACGGGCAGTCCCCCGGAATAGTATCCGCCGTTGATCCCCTCAGAGTAGCTGCTGGAGAAAGCGAAAAGAAATTGGCCACTTCGATAAATGCCCTTTACAAAGTGCCCAATCGATCTTAGGAAATCCAAAGGTTCGAATGCTTCTAACCACGTTACTTTACACACTCGATTCTCTTTCCATGTAATACGAGTTAACATCTGCTTGAAAATCTGTTTCTGTAAAAATTACGATATCTTTTTCCCCGGTGTAAGAGAAACAAATGCAACGATACTAAAAAAAGTAGTACCCTACGCTGTTTTCTTTTTTTTATTAATTTGTTTTTTATTAATTTTTTTCTTTTTTTTTTTCTTTTTTCTTTAAGTTAAGCTGAATTTTTTTTTATTTAATATACGAACGAAGCTTACCCGGAGGAAAGGAAGTATTCCTTGTTCACACAGTTTCGCAAGCAGTCAGGTATGCGACCAACGATAGCTCTTCGTATTTCACTGGCTGCCATCTCACGAAGTTCGGTGCAGCTTGCATCGCTGTAGAACGCTGCGTGTGGTGTGCACAATAGATTGGGTGCATCTTTTAAAGGACCTGTAGAACATAGAGAAATATACTATTTTACTATCTTCTATTTCTAATATTGATGAAATGAATTAATTTCCCCGTATCTCATTCAAACTAAGCAAATCCAGTATTAGCGAAAATAATTTTATTTACATATGTGATGTTTGTATAATAACATACATGATTCATTAATAAACTGTCATTTATGATTCATGAATAAGTCAATAAATTATTCATAATTATTTACTAATTAAGTACTATGATACTATGTGAATAAATCATTAAGAACAAATCAAAAGATTGAATTACAAAACTACTTCAAAAAATAATTTGTTTAGATAATGTACAATTTCTTAAAATATACAATATAATAATTATTTAATAATTTTTTGTAATTTATATTAATATTTGTTTGTTATTACTTTTTTTCTATACAATTACATTTCTGCATACTGTATTATTAAGTGTTACCTTTATTACATGAGCTTAGATTACCCAATAGTGAAGAAGGACCAGGATGATGAAGGAAAATGTTAATTATGTGAGAGGGGGTTAGGTATGGATAGATAAAACTCACACTGCGAGGACTGACCCTGAAAAACATTGTACGGCTCATTTTCGTGTACATCAAGTGCTGCTGCACGAATTCTGCCTTGTTTCAACGCTGCAGCCAATGCATCATCATCAACCAGTCCACCCCTTGCTGTATTGACTAAAAAGGCGCCAGGTCTCATCTATAACATAAAACGTTAACACGGGTAAAATACAAGGAATTAAAATTACTTGCCATATTTTGTGCGACAGAAAATGTTTAAATAGTTTTAGAACTGACTTATAATAATTCTAAAAACTCAGTACAAATAATTTTACTTTTTAACAAGGTTTGCTATCTATATCATTGTACATTATATTTTAATTGCAGAATAAATTTGCAGAAAAAATTTTCCTATGAAAGCTTTTTAAAACTTGGGCTGTTATACCTGTTTGATGGTGAATTCATTAATTAGGTGATGATTGTGCTCGTTCAAGGTACAATGCAAGGATACACAATCTGATTGGAATAGCAAATCCTGTAATAAATCATAAAAAATCTTATAAAATGTAACTGAAATTTCTATACTATCTTAAAAAAAGGGAATTTATATCAAACCTGTAATGTGTAGACCCTGTTAAGACCAAGAGATTTTTCAATTCCATCTGGTAAATAGGGGTCATAAAAGATGACAGTAAAGCCAAAGGCTTTGGCACGCAGAGCAACTGCAGAACCAATCCTGCCTAATCCTACTATACCAAGCGTATCGCCCCGTATCCTTGCACATCCTGTTGCAGCTTCCCTAACCTGAAAAATATTGAATATGAAATTAGATTTCCAATATTTCTGCAATGTAATATGCGTTATGCACATGTTAAAATTCTTACCTGTTCAGGACCTGTGAATTTTTTTCCTTCACGTACCATGTTTGCCAACCAATACGTACGTCGATATAAATTTAGAATGAGACAAAGTGTAGTGTCAGCTACTTCTTCAACACCATATCCAGGCACATTGCACACAGCGATGCCAAGTTCTCCTGCTGCTTTGACATCTATATTATCTACTCCAGATCCAATTCTTACAATGATTCGTAATGTTTTGAATTTTTCAAGATCTTCCTTTGTCAAAATTATAGTGTGCCACATTAATGCACCTACTGCCTCATTTAATACCTATAGGAAGGTTACGGTAACATCCAGATGAATTATTGCAGACAACAAAAGATATTCAATGTTTATTCCAAGCAGGTTTCAATAACACAGATTGTGCATCAAATCTCTTACCTTTTCATGAATTTCTGATGTAGACTGTGCATCACAGAAAGCTACTGTTGCAACATCTTTAAGAATAGGCATTTCGATAGAACAGTCTCGACCATCTAATAAAGCCACTAATGGTCGTGTCTGAATGGGTCCATTTGCAATAGGACCCCTCAGGCTATCCATTCGAGGGCGTTTGGGCATCATCTTCCGTTTGTCCATCGGTCAAACAGCCCCCCCAATTTTTATATTTTTCACTTGTACTTTCAGTGTCACTAAGAATGTCTGCTTTCTTCCAAGGAAGTCCTATAGTCCACTGATAAGGAAGCTTCTGAATATTTCTTAAAATACAGTTTTTCACTTTTATGCTTTGTCACACAAATTGCTTCTGTAACACTGATTTCTGGTCGGTTTTTGGACAAGGACCGCCGAACCTCCAACGCATCACGACTTGCTGAATACCGTCTCCTGAAAATTTCAAATAATAAATCTTTTCAGATATGGATCATTTGAAAACTAGCATATCTTATATGTAATAGAGTAATAGTCATTGCTTTATTATCATTAATAATAAGTATTAATGATATTACAATATAATAATTAAAATATCACTTCATCAAGTAACTGTATATTTTATTAATTAATTATATGATTTTACAATTAATGTAAACGGAACTATTTTAAATTAGATTCTGTAATGCTTGGCATACAAATTGTACATAAGAAAAAAACAATTTACAATAAAATTTCTAAAAAAAAAATATACTTATTATTCTTAATTTTCATATTTTTATTAAAAAAAATTAAGAAAGAACGGATACGTATATAACAATACATATAAAATATGTGTTTCGCTCAATAAACATACATTTCGACGCCTTCGTGAATTTCTTTGTAAGAAAGAAATCCATGTGATACGTATGGTTGCGAATTATTTCATTTACGAATTCAATATTATACAATAAATAGTGTCGACGAGATATCAGTCTTAGTCAAATGAGAAAATTTTGCAATACTTTACATTACAGAAAGCGAAACATTTAACAGCGTGTACGGAAACCGAATGTTTTAGGTTACCTTGAAACGCGCCGGCTTAACCTGCGCAGTACGTGTATCCAACACACTGATAGAAGCGCTTGGAAAATATAAGAAGTCTCAAGAATATAATGTCGGTGTTATGTCAAACAAAAATACGTATGAACTTTCCACACTTTGGTGCGAAACAACAGTAAAAGATTGCACAGGATACACCATGTATCGAGAACGAAATTACTAGCTGGGGCAAATGTTTTTGGAACTGCCAATAGAACGCCTGGCTTTGGTTAGTGGGTCGACGTTTTCAGCCCATTTTCGGCAGCAATTGTAAACCAATCACGGTGCATTTGCACGCTTGATGTCCGATTAACCGCTTAGTAACTCATAAATTCCAGTTTACAGAGCCCTACTATTTACTAATATGACTAATACGCAAGCAACTATACGAAAACAGAAAATATGTTCGATCAGAGTCGATTTAGTACCCGGTGCTTTTATATGGCGGAACGGAAAAATGCTGAACCAGCGAAGTTCCATAAGAAAGTAGAGAAACTGACACGTGGCGCCCTCATCAGACGCCGTCACCACACGATACTTAACCAAGATCATCAAAAATAAATCAAAGTTTCAAGAAAGTGCTTCAATATGGTATTCTTGACAATTGACACAACATATTACTTCCATATGGTAATACGAAATATTCATTGGTGTATTACAATTTGAACAATCTTTTCCCCTCTGTTCGAAAATAGAGAATTCTATAACTTTATACTAAATTGCAGTCAATCGCATGCCTGATCTTATACCTCAGAATCAATTTTCAGATTATATTAAAAATCGTCTCAAGTCGAGAGAACTCCACGATGTTTAATTTTCTCATCTGCTATATCAATGATTTTTTCTATATAATTTTTCCATTGGCACCCATGACGACACAGATTGAGATCTTGTTCATTACGAGTGCTCGTAGAATTTCATCAGCGAGTACATAATGGTTGGACCATCGAAGTGGAAACATTCCATGTGGTAAGGTTAATATAAGATAAATGATACACATTAAAAGCGTTTGATCTGTCAGTCAATACATACAAGCAATCGAAAATACAGTCCGCAGAGGCTACAAAATGAGATCGCTGCTGGCCTCAGCGAAAGCGAGGATGCGATACTAACGTAGAGTGCAAACCCAAGCACTTTGACTTGGGCACATGTTGTGCCAACTCAGCGAAAATGCAAGCTCATATCATCAAAAGGAGGAGAGGCAAGGAAGTGAGATTAAGCCCTTGTTCGACAGCTGGCAGCGTATATCATACGTAATACACGATAGATAGTATAAAGAGCAATGTGTTAAGGAAGTACGCTCAGAAAAAATGCTTTAACGTTAATTATTCGTCACACTTGCGAACAAGTGAATGAAATATTCGGGCAACCACGAATAACCGAATCTTTCCCCATTCATAATTTTCAAAGCAGTCTTGTAAACTTATATTACAAAATTAAAATTTTCTAGAACGTTATTAATTATATATTAAGTAGGTTTACTTGTCAATGTTTCCCAAACTGGTGGAAGCTAGCCAGAAGAAGTTATCAGAAGATGTTCTGGAATGAGTTAAAAATTCATCAAGCTTTTAGAACGAACGTTTCGACTAAGCGGTCGAATTCAACCCTTTAGCTTAATCTCAGTGTGCAACAGAGTTTTTCGAGTTACAGATACAACGATGAAGGGTAGCGGAGAGGAAGACAGGCGAAGAGAGAAGGGAGGGGGGGGGAGGGGAAAGCAGAGCAAGGGTGGGGCGTCGAAGCTGCCGGTGGGATGGGGAGCTATGAGGGCGAAGTTATCCAATTATTGTCTAACCTGGGAGCAACTTTACTTGGCGGAGAACCGTTGGTGGGAGGGAAGCTCGTCCTGCCAGCTCTCTCTCCCTTCCTACAATCGAGCCACGATAAAGTAAAGTTTGTTTCAAAACTTACCGCGCGGAGAGGTGACTAGGTTTTTGTTAGTGACACGTGAAATTCAAACGACTTCATTGTGATAATAATCATGGCAAATTTTTTTTATATCGACTGATAAGAAAAGAAAGGGGAATTCAGATTCGAGAAGGATCTCATAAATTAAGCCAGAGGTTCATTAATAATACGACCACTACGAAACTTCTTCAGCATGAAACGTTCAAAAGTACGGTCACGTTTTATGAATATGTAATTAGGTAAAAGTCGAAATAACTATTAATTAATTAAGCATTGCATTATCCTTAAGTTTGAATTTAACTAATTCCAATTACGTTATACGTTTACTTTGTTCACAGATTGTTATTATTACATAGTAAAAGTATTAATGTATTTATAAAGGATATATATTTTTTATTCCTTTTTCAAAAGTCATAAAATATAATGATGCTATAATGAAATAAGTATATTTCTATTGATAACGTAACGATCATATTGATATTGATATTCATAAAGAGTTAATTCAAGAGTTAGAACAAAACCTTTATTATTTAAAGTAGGAATGCTTACTGATAACGAGCTAGAAATAAACAAGCCTATTAAAAAAGTGCACTAGCGATAACATTTGCTATAATGACGCATCGTGGAAACCTTTTTAAAATAATGTACTATTAGTGCCAATAGATATGTATTTTAGGTCAATTTTAGACACGGATCAAGCCTTTACTTTAATTGCGGTTAGAAAGATTACAACGATATTTTAATTTATTTCATGTTTTTTGAATTTATCCACTTTATATTTATGATTATTTCTTTCATTTAAATACCATAATTAAAAATTCTATCCATTAAAAAAAACTTTTCTATATGCTCAAAAATTACATCTAATTCACTAATCAAAATCAACTTCATGTTGCATAACGATACTTATTCATCAACAAATGCAGGACAAAACAAAGAACTTGTTCAAATTATAAAATAAAACTAAAAAGATATCCGTGATTGTAATGATAAAAATCGGCGCACTGTCGTTGGAGCGCCATCTGCAAGGCATCAAGCAACGGGACAACGTGGCCTCTTTGCAGAAACAAAAATCAGTTGTACACCGTGGAACGGAACACACGCTTAAATAAACGCCTGTGCTTGAAAGGAGAGCGAGAGTTTGTTCTAAGTTGTAAATGCAAAAAACGAACGAAAACAAGGGAGAGGAAAAAAAAAAAAAGAAAGCCAAACGGCAGAGAAAGAAAAGAAGATAGTAAAAAAAAAATCTGTCGAGTACTAGAATGGAGAAAGGGGCAGAAGAAACTTGTCCAATTATGATGACGAGTATCGGTGTCGGCGTTCGGGCATTCTCATCCTTGGACACAACGGAATGGTCGGAAAAGGGGTAAAGAGAGGGGCTGCTGTTGCTCTGGTACCTTCCGCCTCCGCGTTCGTCTCTCCAGCGGGCAACGAGCGAACGGCCATGAGTGTAGAAAGGGAAGAAGGGAGGGAGGGAGGAAAGGGAGAAGGAGAAGAGAGGCGACTACTTAAAGTTGGCGGAAAGTTTGGTTCGGCAGCAAAGTTAACTCAGTTAAGTTCTCCGCTCCTAAAGCGAAACTTCGGTTCTCCAACGCCTGCCCTGCCAGCCTGCCTCTGCCTGCCTCTGCCTGCTTACTTCTCCATCCTCTCTCTTCTCTCCCTTTCCCACCGTATGCCTTCTCCCTTTCTCTGTCTCTCCCTTCGTTTTGCACCCGTACTTCCCTACTGTCTTGGCTGTCCTTGTTCTATATCAATTCCTTCGATGCTGCACGAATAAGCAATGTGTGTTTAGAATTATCACTTTTCCGCAAACTTTCGTCACGATGTTTCGTCGTAGCGATCGATTGGCATCGACCCCTGCGCGACCGGTGTCACTCTCGTTTGCCTGCCGTCGTACTGCTCTCTCTGTGCACCGGTCGCGTCAATCTGTGGCTTAACCAGGGCCCAGGCTAACCGTTTTGCAGCTGGAACGAAACGTTTTCAAGTATGTACAGGCGGATGCGGGTACGAGGGCAAGACTTCTTTTTTCAAAGCGTATATACCCCCCCTCCCCAAGTGTGTGTGTATGTATGTTTGAAAAGAATTTAGAAGCTTCGTGTGTTCGTTTTTAAGAGCGCGGCTCTTAAGACAGTTTAAATGAATTCTCAAGCTTTCGCATGGATATAAAGTTTGAAGTGTTAAATGACGATGTAGTTCAAATATCCTTTTCGTAACAGTAGAAAATATGATTCATATTATGTATGGTATGTATACAAAATTATATGATTATTGAAACATAAAGTTCTCATTATCTTTTTGCAATTACTGTATATTATAGAAATTGATAAAAGATTAGAAGTTCCAAAAAGGGACATCCAGTTAAATATAACTCTATGTGTATTATTTTACGCAGTATTTCCGGATATGATAATCTATACGTTAAATTCCTTTTTTCTATCGGCTAAAGATTCCAAAATACGGTATAAAATTTCACGCGAAAAATGGCAAAAAGTAAAAGTGACTTGGAAACAGCTATCTGAAGCCTGTAAACTTCGACGAGACATTTCAGGAAGAAAGATGTTTCTCCCACTTCCCAGAGAACTCTGCCTCCCCACCCACGCCCAGAGTGGCAGGCAACGATCGAAATTCCAAGACGAAGTTTGCGAGATTCCAAGGAAAGCGCGAGTTTCGCTCGTGTTCATCGTTGCCCTTCTTCGCGCGTGTATGTGTGTAGAGGCTTGTAAGCATCGTTTTGTAACAGATACCAGTCAGCATCAACTGAGTATTGTCCCTCCTTTGATGGTACGCCAGAGCAAAAAAAGAAACCGGTCGAGTCAGTACTTACGAAGAGGTTTAGCTTTCAGGGTTCGTGTATGTAGTTCGAAAAGAAGTTACGACCGTTTTTCTAGCCAAACAGAGAAAAAGAACTTTGCTGCACCGTCATTTTTTTAAAGTAAAATCCAGACGCGAGGAAGAAACAGTTTTACGTTTGGCCAGTTCGAGTAAATTGTAAATGGTTTTGAAGTTGCGCGAATGTTATTTCATGAGCCTTCTTCTACTATTAAACCAATACTATCAGCAAAATTATACCGATCACGAGTTACCAGTGCTAGTAAGTTCTTCTGCATAACAAGTTTAACAATATTAATAAAACAAATAGAGTTCTACAAATAAATTTTACAAATTATTCGATGTAAAACTGTAAAAAAAAAAAAAAAAAGAATGATCCATGCAATGAAAATACAACTTGTTACTTATAATATATTAATTATTATACAAGAACAAAATTCTGTTCTTCATTTGAATCCAGAATGAAAAATTGTTTTTAAATTGAATTTTAATTTGCGTAAATATCGTAGATGCAACTAAAAATGAATAAGAAGTATTTTAAATGAAGTAAATATTAATGATAATTTATTTATGATAATTTGATAACGCGGTTATATAGGCAATCTTTAAGCAAATAATTAATCTATTTAAAGATCGCAAGCATGATGATTCACAAATACAAGATAATACTTTGTAGAACGTATCTACGTATTAAATCAAATGTTATGAGTAAATAAGTAGTGGAAAATTTTTGAAATGACATTTGCTTCGTAATATCGCATTAATTGATTGATCATAAATCGCTTAAATCCTCACTGCAGTAATTTATATCAATAAATTAATCGATACATATTTAAAACTTTTTTCTTGGTCCTAACATTTTTTTTTTTTATAGCAAACATAAGGTATGACGTTAAATTACACTTATAACCAACCACCATTTATCAATTACTGTACGTATTATCTACGTTTCTGTAATAATTTTTTAATTTATTTAGAATGTAAATTACAATAGAAACTGCGTATCACTATACCTCTATGAATCATCTCTCAATTGCTTTCAAGATAACACAAATATTTCATCAACGTTTATTCTTCTAATATACCCGTCATCTTTATTCTCGTGAAACTAAAATCTTTAGATTTTTAGCAAAATGAGAAAGATGAAGAAAAAAGATAGAAGAATCGAAAACGAGAAAAAGTAATGAGAAAAGAAGTCGAACAAGAATTTGTTGAACTCTATAAATTCAGTTGGCGCGTCGGCCTTGAGATCGCACTCTGTTCTGCAAATGTCGATGCACATGCAAAGTGAGCTCGAAACACGAACCTCCGTGTCTCTCTCCCTTCTCTCTTACGCGCTGATCGATATAGGTGCACGCATTAATAACTTGCTGCCTTTGCACCGTGATAGTCAAATCGGCTCACCCAGTGACTCATCCCGGCTCGCGCGAAGAGTAGTATTCGAGCTTGCGCGAGTCAATTTGGAAAACATTTGGCTCGCTACGTTTCAGCATCGTCCCTGGGCGTTTACCTTGGCAAACTATTTCCTCGGCAGAAGTTACGGATCCATTCAACCATCGCGCGACTCGTGTTCGCGGGGAAGGGAACAACGGGGCGGGCGGTAGCAGAAAAATTCAACGTTAAAGATTTCCAAGTTGGTGGAAACTTTTAATTAGCCACTGACAAAAGGCGTCGCCAGTTACGTTCGTTGAACAAAAGCGATAATAGGAGCAACGACGGTAAACTGACGGTACAATCGTTCGCCGCTTCAAACTTTCAACCAGTAATAACCTACAGAGCAAAGCGTGCAGCAGGCAAGGAGTGTACGTGGGAGAAAGTACAAGGAACACGGGCTGATGTCGAGTTCTCCATATACATTCGTTGTTGCATTCATATTTGAAACCTTGAAAGACAGAGAGAGAGGCCGACAGGTGGCGAGTGGAACCAACTCGAGCATACGGAACACTTCTCAAAACCGTTTAACATCCCTTTAAGCGTCTCCATGCTGTCCAACGAGTGACGTTAAATCAGATCTGACTGTGCGCGCGCACGGTCGCGGTCCGTTCGAGCATTACGATGCAAAGAATCGTTACGGCATCTCTTGTACGAGAGATCATCCCATTCGCATAACTTTGCCTCGCCGACGTATCGCGCGGTCGGGTTAAGAAGGACTCGATCGAGAAGCATACATAAAAAGAACAATGCCGGTGCGGCTGAAGACATGTGCCAGCTCGTGTCCTCTTCTATTCATGGGTAGGGGAACGCGATGAATATACCCTTGTTGAGTTTCAAAGTTACATACACTCCGCCGACTTTGCCAACCCCTCCCCTCTTTACCGTTCCCTATATCCTCTTCCGCTCTGAATCAGAATTTTCCACATAAACCGCGACAACTTTTCTTATTGTTTCCGCACCCATTCTGGACTCGCTTCACGGAATAAATCACTTCTAAAGAAACAAAGAAAGTTGTTCGTAAAACATTCCACATACTGCTACGTATTACGTCTCACTGAAGGTGTTAAAAATAAATAAATAAAAAAAATAAAAAAAAGAAATAGGTGGAAGTAGAGTAATTATCATCGGGAATACGTTAATGAAAAACGAGCAGAGAATTTCTTGTATCAGCGGCAAGTTTCCCAAACAAACCGGTTCATATTGAGAACGTCGTCTCTCTAATCCCAGTTAGGAAGAAACTTAGTGAGGCATTAATTTAATTTGAGTGCAAACGCAACCAGAACAAAATTTTCCCATGCGAAAGCTACTCACTGGTGAGGTGAATGATTTCTAAAGAAACGATAATCTACAGAATATAACATTTAAAGAGATACCTACACTTATAAATAAATATTGCGCGTATTGGCATTGATCGATAAAATGAATCGAATCAGTCGAGCTAGAGAAGACCAATAAGTTCTAAAGAAATGATGATAATCCATTAGCGATGCGTAATGAGCTATGACCCATTAGTGGCAACGAGAATAAGTTCGTCCACGTATTAGAGGGCCAATTTATAACTTACTTCACGCTCACCAACGTCCCCGCGTAAGAACGTCCATGAACGACTCAAGTATGTGAGAGAGTACGCGTATAAAAGCGACCTCACGGGGCCGCGAGTGTATACAAACGATTTTCTCTCTCTCGTCCACGCGCGATTCTCCAGCGTGGAAGTAGCAGCAGCAACAGCAGCAGCATCGATGAGTGAGTCCCGCGTACACTTGTTTTCTCGTGGTGTGTTCATACACACCTACGTGCATACTTGCTACGTAATACGTATGCAGAGGACACAAAACTCGCTTTTCGCGTCTTCTCGGTCGCTCTTTTGCCTCCTTTCTCTTTCTCTCTCTCTCTCTCTCTCTCCCTCTCGTTCTGCTGCGTGATCGTCCCCAACGCTCATTCGCGTCAGTTCGACCTATGCGCGCGCGGTATACACCTATACAGAGTTACAGCGGGTTAGGACAAGTGCGTAGAGAACGGCAGAGAGTAGTTTCATGGAGTTTAGTTCCTCGTAGTGGATATGGCATCTTGACTCCTAGTAGTGGAGTGTGGCAAGCAATGGCCGGCCCGATCGATGTCTCGGCAACTTCCCACCCTCGACAGTCTGCCCCTCTCTTCACGACACGTCCCCTCTCACCCTCGCCCCGCTTTGGCACCCTACACTCCGGTTTTCCTCATCCCAACCGTCAGACTCCCCGTCTCACCCAACCACCTCCCGCTGTCCCCATCCTCCGACACATCGAACTAAATCCCGGAGCTGCTTACTGCTTCCAAGTCTGTTTACAATGGCGATGCGCTACCCCCATTATCCTGGGGTCGTACTTCACGTTCGAACTACATCATGACGTCGATGACGAACGACGAATTTCTTTTACCCGACTGGTCATCTCTCTCTCTCTCTCTCTCTCTCTCTCTCTCTCTCTCTCTCTCTCTCTCTCNTCTCTCTCTCTCTCTCTCTCTCTCTCTCAAACGATCTACACCTTTCCCGCCTCCACCCCCCTCCCCCCCATTTACTCCCCAATATATTCACATAGCAGCCGTATCTTTATTTGTTTTATCTTATGGCACATTTATCTCTGCAATCTAAAGCATTTCAGACGTCTCCAGGTATATACGCGTACAATATATTTAGCCTGGTCAATTTACTGGAAGATATTCCAACGACCGTAGTTACGTACAGCATCATACTGTGGGGACCTTCTTTGACTGAGCAATGAATACAGAGATATATGATACGCGCCCGTTACTATCTAACCAATTACAACTCGATATTCGAATAATCTAAATCGGAATGATTCAATATTTAAACGATACAGCTTTTATATCGTTGATAATTCGAAAAGAAAATACCGATAATAGTTCTTAATTGCGTATTATAATATCTAGTAACATATATATGTGATCATTACAAATAACCAACTTATAAATACAATCAACAACGTTGTTCCTTTTGCGTGTTCCGGACGTATTGTTTCGCGTTATTTACGTAATGCATGTGCATTTATCTATTATTATAGCTATCCATGTCCGCGAGACTGGCAGAGACGAATAGCGATATCTATATTTTCATTCCATTGTACAGGCATTGTAGAAATCGATTGCCTGTAGCCTGAATAGCATAGCAGTAATTACGCTTTTCCCTATTCTCGATTATTTGTACAAGAAGAAGCGGCCCATGACGAAAAGAAATCAGGATGCATACGAAACAGTTTTCAACGTTCCGTTGGCTGCTCACATAGAAATTGTCATGTATCTTTTCTTTATTAAATACAATTTCGAGAGATACTGGTGTATTTAATATCTTGGATTTATAGACATTTCTTTTTCAGTAAATTTTTACGTTCCAATGCAATAATGTATTCTGAATTAAAGTATTTCTTTCAATCGATTAATTTATATGTAGCACTTCTGTGTATTTTTAATCGTACTTTAAATTAAATAAACGTTCAAATATTCCTATTTTTACCACGAAAAATTTCAAGTCCACATATCCACTACAATTACTATCTGTTCGATTCGCATGCAGCTGGCAAGCGAAAAGTAAAACATCGAAAAACGTGCCCTCTATCGTGTAGATTTTCGATTACACGACATCTAACGGAAAACCTCATCCTCGTACTCTCGACAAAACTCGAGCAACGAAACCGAAAAGAGGAGGAAGAGGAGAAGGAGGAGAAACCTAGCTCGTTTCTCTCCCCAGAGAGAAGCATAGCATACCCAATAGTTGAGTCAGGTCAGTTTGCTAGCCTTACATAAAAGAGGCTAAGTAACGACGAAGAGAAAGAAGATAGGAAACGTTATAAGATATACACACAGGATGAACGAAGCGAATCTGAAGAGAACAGTGCTACGAGAGAAGCATCGAAGTAAGAAGAGGAGGGGTAACAAGGAAACGGGTGGGGGCACCTGTTACAACCGACCAGATCGTTCTTTCGCTCTCCCTTTTCCCTCTTTGTCGTGCACTCATCCACATGCCACTTAGGCTGTTACATTGAAATTTCTACGGAACGATCGGATATATGCAGCGCTTCTAAAATGGGAGAGCAAACTTTGGATGTGTATACTAAACGTTTCATCTATAACGGGACAAGATGGACTCTTCGTGCTTACTATAGATAAGACGTTACTACGTTAATCGTTTCAACGATATGTATTTTGATTTATCAATACGTCTTATGGTATATAGAATGTTCCAGAACAGTATTGAAAATCTGCTCTCTACCTAAAAAATATAATCCATTTGTATTTTCCAATGTTATCAAACGGAAGCAATAATAGATATTTAAAGTTACATGAACATTCGACTGTTCATATACTTCCTTACTGTTACTTCTTTATGTAATACTTCCTTACACTTACAAAACAAGTTGGAGGAAAGTTTTAACTGCAATATATATGTCTATAAACTTTCCGTAATTGTGTAGTCATCCATTAAGTTATATTGCTCGTTTCAGTCAATTCTTGAGGGCCTTAACGATGTTCACCTTGAAGATGGAAAAAGGACCCATGGACACACACACAATACGGGAAAAGGACCCATGGACACACACAATACGGGAAAAGGACTCCCTTCCGAGTTACAGCTACTTTTTGTTTGTGATAAAAATTTACAAGGATATCTGGCAAGTTTGTAAACGCTTAATTTTAGAATAAGCATTCACCGGTTAACGGTTAGAAATAATTTTCTTCCTTAACAAGAGGTTTCTTGCACCTCTAGTTACTTTGAGTTCTGTCACGTGAAACTATGTAATTTGAATATTGACGACGGTAATAACATAAACGAACAACTTCAAACACCTTATAATAAAATAAAACTACAATTAACATATTCATATAATTGGACCTATCTCCAATAACAATCTAATCGAAATAGATTTAATAAAGATAAGTTATGTACGATTAGATGTGGCAATCTGAATAACTTATTTCAGATTTTTTCAAAGATTATTATTAATCGTAGATATTTCGAGGTAGACTTCACCTTCTCAAATGAGGTCATACAGTTTTATCATGTCCATTCAACGTACTCCAAAATGCATTCTGACAGATAAAGTAAATTTTTCTTAATTGCTTACAAGCCACTTTTATACTTATCAACGAATATTTTGTTATCACGAACAAGTATTTATCAACAACATTTATATTATATTATATTGAAGTATTTTTTGAACGATCGTTTAAATGCATATTGTACTTGCTTCATTAAATGAATCTGGGACATGCGCTGAATCAACTAAGGTTAATCCGAGTGGAATGAAATCAACAGTGAAATATTCAGAACGATTTTGCAGAAAAAACCAGTCTTTTAAATAAAAAAAAAAAAAAATCTCTGCAATAGACAAAAAATGACCACGACCTAAGTCATTTTCGTGACTTGTAAACACGGGAGGAGACTGCCTCCTATTGCGAGCAGGTAAACAAAAACGCACTCGAAAAAGCTTTGGCCGTTTATTTTAGAAACAGCCTGTAGAGCGTCGCTTCTCTCTGCAGCCCGTGGACAATCGACGTAACCACTCTCTCGTGCCTTTTACCGCACTTGTACGGATCCCGGACGAAGTGTAACGATGCCGAGAGATCGATAATAACCGCCGCGGTTTGGTTCCACCCGAGCCTCGTACGAGACAGGGACACTTTTTTCCTCTCCCCTCTCGACGATCCCGCTATCACTCTCTTTATCTGACCAGCTTTCGTCATCTCTCTTCTCGTTCTCTCTCCTCGTGGCGATTTCACGCTTTAATTACGCGACAAAAAAAAAAAAAAAAATATGACGGAAGAGCGAGGACAAGGAACAAAGCCTGCACAAACTTCGCTTTGGCATCCTTGTTTATACTTGTCTACACGTTTCATTTTTCGAAACTTTTATTTCCCAACTAAATTTCCGTCCTTCGTCGAAAACAATGGTCATTGCAATGCTGAAAATGGAAATTGGAGAGAGAGGAGGGGGGGGGGGGAGAAAGAAAATCTGAAACTGCATTTCTACCTGTAACGCTACTTTCAATTTTAGAAACCGTTCAGGCTCGAGACTCGAAAATATAATATTCGTTCAGTTTTAGCATTATCGCGGTACTATCAGTGCACGTGATAACATTTCTAAATACATAGGTGGTTACGCGTTGCCCGCGATACATCTGTATCCCATCGAAGACTATGCAAGCCGTTGTAATGTACTAATTTAGTTCAAGATGTTGGATGATACAACATGACAAGGAAAGAACGTAATCGAGCGAATTTTACGAACGCTCGAGAAATGTTGCTCTTATCTCGGAGATGCTCAATATGTGCGTAATAAGTACACGCTATAGATAGCCTTGTAAGAAGGAAGTGGTGTGAGCGTCCGCACCATCAACCGGAGATGGATTTGAATTTAGGAGACAATGCTGCTTTCGAGCGACGCATAAATCGCGGTATGCGTGTCTGTCGATGCGAACCGAGTCTGCGAACAAATAATAATAATGGTAACGAAAATTTTAAACCGTGCATGGTCGCACGACCCGTACACGCCATATATTCCTTCACTGAATTGAACACGATATATGACCCGATTATGTCCAACCGTCGGTTAACAAGTATCAAGACTACGCATCGACTTGACGAAACCGGATTAGTGAATATTTTATAAGTAACGCTCTCTTGCAATATACACGATATATAATATATATGTGTATACACACACGCGCGCGCGCGCGCGTGCACACACACACACACACATACATACATACATACATCGTGACGTACAAATTATCAGATAATCAGCAAAGAGGAGAAAGAGGTTAGGTGGAGAACGAAGATATTTTTTTGAACCGATAAATAAAAGAAAAGAAAAAAAAAGAAAATACTATTGGTCAGTGATGGTGGCGCGAAAACCAACCTTTTTCGTCAAACTAAGAACGACTTAACTTTCTCGAAGGATAACGCCTTCCCGTTTCCTTTCTCCCGGACGACCGCGAGAGATGGATTTACGCGGCGCCAAGAAGGAAAACGTAAATATACGCGAGACGCGCGCGCGCGCACACACACATGCGAACGGCCATGAGTAGGTTTCTAGTAAAAAGAAACAGAAGTGTCGCGACGTGAATACAGGTCACAACATCGCTGAATAAGCAACCAAGCGCGTGTATACCGCTGCTCTCCGCGTTCAGCAAATTACGTAAGGCCAGAACAGGAGCTCGTTTAAATACCGACACAATCAACGATGAATAAGTTACCCGTGCATGTAGCGCGCGCACCAGCGGAACGAAATAAGGGAAACGTACACGACGCGTTCGTTCCATATTCGCGTTAAATTCGGCGAAAGTTACGCAATCCAGCAAGCATACCGTTTGGTGCTGACATTCTTTAGGACTTGCCATTAGAATTCGAGTCATACATCGAAATTTTCCGCCACATTTACAAATTTTTTTTGTACATTTCACGTTACAACACAGAATACATTAAAAAGATACTTTCTCTTTCTTTTCAATCTTTTCAAACGTGGCCGTTTCGTTCGTACAATCCTTATTTTTTTCTAACATTGCACAGCTCACCGGAAGATTACAATGCCACACTTCGAATATTTTACAGTCGTTCGAACCCTACGTTTCAGATTAGTAGGTCGTTAGCATGCTTTATCACTTTGAACGGAAGCTTGTTAACCGAGTCCGGGCAAGGCAAGAACATCGAACTCATGGAAAAACTAAACCAATGCGTGTACGGCCGGCATTGTTTACGTTACGAAATATTTTTAACTTCATACATGCACCGCAAAAAATGCAATTGTGTTAACTGTTTATGTTTGAGCACTGTATTCTTTTTTATTCGATAAATAATAATTGCGAAAATTTCGTCAATTACTACACGCAAGTCTATGTAATTAATCTGTAATCTTTTTCAAAAAAGAAATATGACGACACGATTATCTTTTTCCTTTTTCTTTCGATTTCTTTACACGAAGCTCTAAAAATCAAAATATTGAAAAATATTACATTTTTCTCAAAAAACGCTGTGAGGAAGAATTGACAAACAACTTTCAAATCGACGAACCTTTAATAGTTTTAAATACTAAAATCGTTGTCATTGACTTTATGATACAAGAGAGGTATATAGTAAATTAAAAAAGATGCAGATTGCACAAAGATGTGTAAAAAATTTACGCGACAATAGTTAGGACACCTGGAAACAGGACGGAAAAAGTTGAGAACCACTAAGTGCATTCGCAGTGTCACCCGCAAGCACGAACGATAATCGTTTTCGTAAAAGTTCGTTCGAACTCTGAGGAGGATGCTAATTTGTAGCATGGCGTGATAATTAGCGACGCGTGTAACGCGTTCCTAAATTACGTTCCCGTTTAAGAAAATTCGCTTGGAACGACAAACGCGCACGTATGTAGGTCCTCAGCATGTAAAACGCATCGCATATTAATATGGTGCATATCACGAGATAAACAGATATAGAAGAAGACAGGCTGTCGACGGAAGAAGCGAGAGATACAAATGAATGATATTCTAGAAGCGTCTATCCAAATGGCGGTCAGCCGCATGACACGTACACTTAGCAGAATAAATGATTTACATCAGACCGTCGTGCAGCACCATAGACACTTCGGTTCCTTCGGCATGTTCTTCTGACGATAAATCATACATTTCCAGTAACGTGATTTATTTTAAAAAAATATAAAGGGGGAATTGTATGCACGCGAGCTCGAATCCGAACGAGTTCTCGAATGCGTGCACTTACGCGTGCACACATAGATGAAGAAAGATTGAAAATTCTCTGCCGGGAGGTTTCTTTTTATAAATAAAATTTCAAAGCATGCAGCGCGATGTGCTGCCATCTAGCAATAATTCATAACAATTTTCATACTCGTCTGATATGTCAGAAAATTCGCTTGGTTCGCACGTGTATTTCGCAGCGTATCTGCAAACCAAACGAAAATCGTACGTTCTGTGCGGTAATTTACCCGGTGCAGGCAATTTGTCTCTCGTATTTCTCGCGCGTTGTGATAAGACAGATAAAGCGGTTTGATCACTCGTCGGGATTCTACATGAAAATTAACATATTGTAATGAATTTACGAATCGTAGCAAGGGATCTTGTGCATCGAATCGTATAAACAAGTACGAAATGCGAGACGCACGAGCATGTAACGTTTCATCGGAAAGGTTGAAGCGTTGCCGAAGGTCAACGTCAAGATACAATTACACACAGTTCAGTGGAAAAGAGAGTATTTAAGTATCGAGTAGTAGTACGAGTCCTGAGTATGAAACGCAAGTAATTCCGCGCAAATTTCTCAGAGTTGAATAGTATATTAAAAAAAAAAAAAAAAAAAGAAGAAAAGATGGAATAATCAGAACAGTGGCGAGTGCAGACTGAATAAAAAGAAAGACGCGTGGCTCGTTGGCTGGCGCGGCGTCTCCCGCCATATCACACTAGTCAGCAGCATACTCGCACACCAAGTGTCATACACTCGCCACACATATATATACATAGAGAAGGTGGAACGGTTAAACGAAGAACTACAGTGTGCATTGTATTGGTACGCAACGAGTACAGACGGAAGATGAAACACGCATACAAATACACACGCACGAACCCGCGGAATTTTCTCCGGTGCGTGTGTGCACGCATGCACCGTGCACACCAGGGGCCGCGCGAGCAACGCACACGGCGTACACTGAGCCTCTCGGCGGCGCGATCTACGTGAGAAAAACACTGACTAACCTGTCGGAGGCGACTCTCCCTGTATTCCGCAGACCACAGTACTCCTGAGTACTCGTGTATTTTCACCAGCTACACTGCGATCACCAAACTAATCACTCTCTCACACGGCGTTCTTAACGATTGTCTCGATCAGGAGGTGGTGTACGCGCGGCGCCTCGACTCTGTATTACGATTCACACTGCCCTCGCGGCGTCCACGGGTGACTTCGAGCCTCCCGTGGAACGATACTCGCTCGGATACGAGCTCTGGGGTCACACGCGCCCGCCCGACGCCCCAGTTCTTGCCGAAAATCCCTCGATTCAACGAAAAAATTGGTCGACAATGCGCGGAACTACGTTCGCGACTGTCTCCCTCGCTGGAGGAAAATGGCGGCCCCCGGCCATCCGAGTAACTCGCGCGCGCCACCGATACTTTCCGTCACCGGCCGAACATGCCCGAAAGTAACCGATCCTTTTCGATTCGGCCCTGCCGAACGGTTAAGTTAAATATCCGTCGAATTTTCCCAACGTTTTTAAAGTACGGCAGTCTTTGTTCTCGAAACTTTCCTTATCATTGTATCAAACGGCAAATAATACATGTGTTAATTTCACACTCGTAAACAGTAATTCATTCTCTTTGCAAGATCATTCACTTTTCATCCTAATATCGTGCATTTGAAATCATGTTTACGATAAATTCATGCGTTTTTATGTTTTTTACGGGAAGAATAAAAGTATTTGTATTTAAATAATGTTCAAAATTAAAATGTACAGGAACAACGCGTTAACGTGAAGGAATTGTTAGAATATATCTTTCTCGTGGGGGATGCACACGCGATCGTTCGAGATCACGATTACTTGATCGAAACTGAAAGGATTACCAGTAGAACATTTTTCGAAAACTCACCTTAGTACAAAATCTTGTTAAATTTACAAAATAAAAGTCGCACATCACATTTCCAAAATTCAACCATGTGTACGTTAGTATTTTCTATTTAGTTGCGTTGTACTCGGGTTACATACTCAAATTTCGTGATTGGTTAGAACTGAGCATTAATCCGCTCCAATGGCCAATCAGAAACGCCAAGGATCATTGGTGAGAATAAGATGTAACATTTATGTCAAATAAAGTTAATGTAATGATGAAGAACATAGTTTTTTTTGCCCCGGCATTATACAAGTTATAATTTTTTTACAATTATAGAAGATTGGAAAATAAATTCTTTCGTAAAAATAATGACAAATTCTTTAATTAGCAATGAATCTTTCAGTCACATGATTTAGTTCGAGGATCATCCCTTATTTCTGTCGTTAATAGAGCCATCTACTGTAATATTATAATACTAACTTTTTTTATCATGCGTAAACAAAATGATAATTATCTTTATTAAAATAGTGTAAGAGTTTTTCACGATTTTTGAAAATAGTAGCCTGTCAAAGTTGTTACATTTATTATCCTCCGTTTATACTTGTAATTTGTATGAAAGAAAATGAACAACTATGACACATAATAGCAAAGTACATTAGCTGTGACACGATAAACATAATTTCCTCAGATTCTCGAATACAACTTTACGCGTAGATTGAGCATAACCAATATGTCAGACGTTAAAAGTCTCGAATACCCAACGTTAAAGGTATTTAACATTTTTGTGACTGTCTTATAATTTTTTGTTCAATTAAATTTTTTATAAATTTTCGACAATTATCGTTTATACGTTGTTTCACGTTAATTTTATAATTAGTTTTACTTTTTTTTAAAATTTAGAAATATTTTATCATCATTTAAATTATTAAATTAATCTGGTATTCTATTTAGGTTCCTTATGAACTCCTTAACAAAAAATTTCGGTTAGCACAAAAAGTCATAGATAGGGAAGCTTCGTATGTACAAACGGCAGCTAATGAATTAATGAAAGATAATAAAACTTCTGTTCCTGCTGGGGAGATGAGTATACTATTAGGCGGAGTTGTGGAGAAACTTCAGACTTTAAAAAGAAAAGCACAAGAATCTATTGCGGAAGAATTGCAAGCAGGCATGGTTTGCAAAAGACGTCTAGAACACTTAAAAGAACATGCCAATACTGCTCCAAGTGTTGTGAATCAGTGGCGGAGACAAAGGCTTGATAGAATGCTGATAGAATATTTCCTTCGTAAAGGCTATTACACAACTGCAACTAAATTAGCAGACAGTAGCGAACTCAGAGATTTAACAAATATAGGTATGTTAAACATTAATGTTGTTCAGTATTTTCTAGAATATAAACAATAATGCTCGTTTCATATTTCTAGATGTTTTTATGGTGTCAAGGGAAGTTGAAACGTCTTTAGCAAATCATGAAACTGCAAGATGTGTTGGATGGTGCTATGACAATCGATCTAAGTTAAGAAAATTAGGAAGTACCATGGAATTCAATTTACGTGTGCAGGAGTTTATAGAATTAGTACGACAGGATAGAAGGCTTGATGCTGTCAAGCATGCTAGAAAATGTTTTACCAATTATGATCATTATCAATTGCAAGAGATTCAATGTTGTATGGGACAATTAGCATTTCCAGCTAATACATCTCTCAGTCCATACAAAGATTTATTAGATGAAAAAAGGTAAATATATGTATAAAATTGTCTTATTGTTGATTTCGTTATTAAATAGTATGTTTATAATATATGGTACTTACAGATGGGATAGATTAATTGAGCAATTCAGACATGAAAATTATAGACTTTTCCAATTGGCAAGTCAAAGTGTTTTTACTGTGGCATTACAGGCAGGTTTATCTGCATTAAAAACACCTCAATGTTATAGTGCAAACAAAGAAGGGAGAAACCCAAATTGTCCAGTGTGCAATGAAGCTCTTAATGAATTAGCTGTCCCATTGCCTTTTGCTCATTGTTCACAGTCCAGACTTGTTTGCAGTATTAGTGGAAAACCATTAAATGAATATAATCAACCAATGATGATGCCAAATGGATATGTATATGGAGAGCAAGTAAAGATAAATTTGTTTCATATAAAACAGTCATTAATTTGCTGAATTAATTTACCACATATTATTTTAGGCATTGGAGAAGATGGCTCAAGAAAACAATGGTACAGTAATTTGTCCAAAAACCAAAGAAGTGTTTCCATATAAAAAGATAGAAAAAGTGTATGTTATGTAAAAATTATTGACTCAAGATATTCAATTTGTATTATACACAGTGCATCTTTCATATTCTAACTCAGAATATTTACTGTTTAATACTGTATACCGATATTAACAAAGGGAATAACTTCTATTTTTAAGGAAATATTTTTTGCAAATTTTATTTGTGACCACCTACTAGAATAAAATGTGATACAAATGAATAATGTGTGTTATGGAAAACGTTCTAGTTTTTCGACATGAAAAGATATACAAATTATTATGATAATGTAGTTGGTTATTAAACATGAAATCAGATTTTTGTCCTTAATCATTTATTTAACATCATCTCTACAATAAATTGAACAATTAAAACAATTCCATAAATCTACTTTTCAAGACGCATTTTGTAACCATGAACTTTGTAAGTATATTACAGTGATTCATATTTATATTTATAACTTGCATGCCCAAACCTTTCAACATAATAATGGTAAGGTTTACGTTATGTTTAACATTGGTGTAATCTGGTTCCTACTTTGTTACATGATCTTTTATGGTTTCATTTTCATGAAAACAGATGTACCACCATTTAAATACTTTTTGAAGTATATCTTAATGAAGAAAGCCTAATCTATCTAATGATATGCATTAAGCAATTTTAGATGAAACATGTCCACAAGTGAATCAATATAAAAATATCCCTTCTATGCTCTATCAGCTTTAAATTCAATGATTTCTCATTCATTGGTTTTATTGAATTTTATTTATAATTTATTGTCTGAATTGCCTTATGCAGAGGATTGTCCTTCTAGGAATTCGGATTCTATATTTTAGAATAAAATTTGTGGTCAACTTGGGGTACAATATTTGAGGTAATTTAAGGTTTTCCATTAACAAGATTTCTTTATGTTTATGTATATATGGCTTTGACAATTAATTTAGCTGAGCATAATTTGAAGATGTGTATAGGAATATTAGTCATAACTGTATGTGAATTGATAGAAATAGAGGGTAAACAGTATTATAAACAGTAAAACGGTATAGCTTACAATAGTGTATATAATAAAAATGCAAATTTGTAATTGTCACATGTTACTACATGTGGAAGCACTTAGACAGTATTTACAGATTTTATTAAATGTACCCAAACAAAAAACGTACTTAATAATGTATATACTTTCTTTCTTTTCTGTTTTACTGAAATTAACATGTGTACACATATGTACATATGAGTTAATATGTGTAAAACTTATTAAGAGTAATTATATTTTAAATTTTGTGATTTGTTATAAATAACTTTCAATTTATTATAACTAAAGATAAAAAATAAATAATAAAATAGTATACATTATAAAGTAATAAAAACACGCTTTACGTTCAATGTAAAAATGTGTAACATTTCGTTTAAATTTAAATGTAAACAAATATATACATTTCGTAAGTATATTATATATTATATGCATGTAATGTTATGTTTGAAACTTGTGAATGTCCAATTTTGTGCATTGTCTTATTGTTAGTTTTCTTTTTTAACGTAGTGAACAAAAAGCACATTAAGCATAAAAACGAAAAAATCTAAGTGAGGAAAAGAGTAATAATTAAAAATACAAAATAAACTAAACAAAACAAATACAAGGCAAATATTAATTATCTACCATTTGAGTAAAAAAAAGTTAATTAAACAGAATACATTAATACATAAGAGTATACAGAACACAAAATGTATACTTTGTAATTATATTATAAAGATAACACAACCTATTTATTGCCAAAGTCATAATTATATGATATAATAATTAAGTTATTAAAAGCTGTTCTGTGCAAAATATTTAGTTTAAAAAAAGATATGTAGTTTAATATACTCTTTAAATGCATATATACGTGTGTATGTGTATGTGTTTCAAAAACACTGTATTTTAAATTATTCACTATAATTAGCACATTACTGAGCATTTAACAAAGAAGAAAATGATGTTACATTTTAACATCTTTGTTGTCCAAATTGGATATAGCTCAACCCTAAATTTTGTTAAATTGTTAGTACGAAAAGTTAACAAACCACAGTCTTATTATAAATTTGGTCTATGTAAATAACAATCATTAAATGTACAGATCTTTTGTGTGCTTATTTTAGCGGCTTCGAGTTAACTCATGTATGTGAAAAACTTAATAACATACGGATATTAAGGCTTATTGGTCCAATTTAATAGTAGTAATTTCATTGGGCAGTGATTAAACATCAATCTGATTATTACGAACTTGATACATAACAGATCTCTATTCTTTTTTTTTTTCGAATTTTAAATATTTTGTTATTAAACATTAGTTTGTTTTCAACAATACGAATCTTTTGAGGTATTATTTAATGTTTATATTTTTTCTTTTTTTTTTAAATATATTGTAATAAAAATGTTCATAGTGCTTTAAATATGAATCAAACAAATAATGATATAAGATTTATTTTCAACTTCACCCTTTTAGGCGCTAAAAAATAAATTTATTTGTTGTCATGAATGTTAAACTAAGATTCTTCCACAGATTCTTGACAGATTCTGATCTTATTCTTTTCTTTGTGCCTTTTTTTGATTCTCCTACAAAGTCTTTAAACGTACATCTCGTGAATCTTGCACGTATTAAGATAATTCAAATGATATGTTTGCTACCAAGATGGGCATGACCATAGAAAATAATATTCCAGTAAAGATCCCTGTAATTAATGATGCTGCCCCAAACATACCTGCTGTTGCCATATATTGAGAATCTACCATTCTAAAATAAAAATTCAATCTCTAATATGTTTTAATATTAAAAATAAAAAGCAATTTTATTTTTTACTATTATATAAATCTCACCTCGGACAATACATCATGGACAAAGAGGAAAAATAGCCACTACTTATTCCCATTGTAACGGCAATTAGAAAATAAACCCAGTCATTATTAATGTACACTGGTAATACTCTTGAAATACCATTTGGTTTGTAATTACACAATAAAAACAATGGTATATATAAAACACGTAAAACAACTGGGATTATTAAGTACCTTTTACTAGGCTACAAGGAGAAAAAAAATAGTAATTGAGAAATCAATTTCTACAATTTCTTATTCAACAAATCTTTTGATTAAAAAATTTACTTACCCACTGAACCAACGATGCGATTGAACTTCCAATTAGAGCAGTAACGTTGAACGTGAGAAAACACATGATAGTACTGTAATAATCTGATGACACTATAAAATTAGGATCCGAACGTACTATATCGGATTGAACAGATGGAAACAAAGAAAGAGTTACAAAAAATACAAAAAATGTGTTAAAGCACTGAGGAAAACATTGTTTGAATATCTTCCAGTAAGGCGGCGTATTATGTTTGTCTCTTGTACTGTTTTCCAACTGCCTTTTATTTATTCCTTTCTGATGTAGAAATTCACGATATCGGTAAAATCTCTATAATCAATAACAATTCATATAAACATTACATATGCAATAAAGCATTACAACAATTTGCAATAAAGTTTATAAGAAAATTATAAATCTTACATTTATTGGAAGTGCAAAATAAGTGTCAAAGCATGCAAGAAGAACAAACAGAGCAGTTATAAAATAATATATTGCTGCAGTTCGAGGGTTTGGTGCCATATATTGAGCAATAAAATTAATTATTGCTGTAAATGTTCCACTTATATTCTGAAAATAACATTAAAGTAATATATATATGTATATGTTAAATGAAGTTTTATTATTTTGTATGAAATTGTTCAAGTTCTTGTTTACCGAGCCTAAAATAACAGCTCCTGTGTATTTTGTGGGTAACTTTGCCACCATACCAAACACAGAATTTTGGTAAATTCCATTAGCAGCTGAAAAGTATTTTATAAATAAAAATTAATACTCTGTATATAGGAAAACTAAATTTCATATTAAGTAAAAAAAAAAAAAAAAAAAAAAATGAAATGCAATTTAAAACTGATGTATTTTCTAATTTAAAAATAAATATATTTCTTTAAAATATATAAATGACTGTTATTTTGGAGTTTTTACAAAAATAATTTTATCTTACTGTTTAATATAATAACAGAAATCATGGTAATCCAGAAAAAGACACCTGGCCAACCAGAACTATCAGTCATTGCCAAAATAACGGTACATACAAATATCAGAACTTGTATGAAGATGCCCCATACTATACGTGTTGTCAAATTGCCACTAAAAGAATTTAAAAGTTGTCTTAAATATCGATATTTGTTCCTCATTTAGTATCTGTAGATTATCATACAATGACAAAGACTATCATACAATGAAAATACATTAAAGAATACATTTTTCCGAAAATAATAAAAGATAACGCATTATAATTAAGATTATACAAAAGATACACACCCAAATTGCATAAATACATTTAACCAATTAAATAGCAGATTTGGTACTTGTGCTGCAAATCCTAAATATGCAAGAAAATTTGTGGCATAGTTTGATTGAATTCCAGTATATTCCTCAGAGAGTTTGTAATTAACAAAATACTAGAAAAATAATTAAGTTGATTAAAAATTCATAGCTCATGTAAAATTAGTAATAGAAATAAAAAAATATACTATAAAAAGTTATACATTTTTTGCTGTTATAAACATATTCCATGGCATCAAGACACCAATTCCATGAAGTATCATTATACAGAATACTATATTTAATCTAAAATTATATAAACAAATGATTAGATTAAAATTTTAAAATTATAGTAAATTATATCAAAAGCATGAAATTATATTTATATACATACCTATCTTTAGGAGGATTTAATTCAAGATCTGCTTGATCCATTGTAACTCCTTTAAAATTCAATTCATCATCAGGTCTACCTGTACCTTCCCAACCAGGAGAAAGACGAACAGGCTCAGTACCTACAATGAAAGATCCAGTTTTTCCAATATGATTTTGACAACACATATACAAATATAATGATACTGCAGTTAGAGCTATCTTAAGAACACTTTACTAATGCTTCAATTTAAAGCAATTTATTAATTTAGTGATCACAACACAAACATTTGATAGATACATTACACACACATATGATTTCATATTTATATCTTAGGTTTACGTAACTCAAAGTATAAAATGAATAAATAACAGCATGAATCTTAATTGCATGGACATTATGTTTATATCCTATAAGAAATAAAATATTATTTACCATTTACTGCTATATAATATTTAAAAGTATTATATGAAGTTTTAATGTAATCTGGAAAAATTTATATAAAATTTATATATTATTTTAGTTGTATTCCATATCTGGTTAAATTATGCTCCTGTATAATATTCATTATATTATGCTGTAAGCACATACAATAAAATAAGAAAGAACATATCAAGTATTAAAATCTAATTATGATATAAATTAATTCATAATAATGATTTTAATAAGACAAAACATATATATATTATTTTATAATGATATGTTATTAATACTTTTTATTTCTTAATATGTTTATAGTTAGTTTCTATATATTTTGAGTCAATAAAAAATAATATTCTATATGAAACATATCTATTTGTATACAATATAATGCAATTTAATAATATATATATATTTTGAAGTATTATAAATAAAAGTTATTTTAAAGAGTCACTTAGGACATAACTGCATTTAATTTAACTTATTCTGACATGCATATGCAGACAAGTAGTTGTCTATGATAAAAGATATCTAGAGACATGCTTTTGTTTGTTTGTTTCACTTAAAAAAAAAAGAGTTACTTGCAGTATATAATAATAAATTATAAAGACACTATATAATATTATTGTATGGAATATTACACAGAAGATCATATACTTTAAATATTTTAAATATTTAAAAATATGAGCGTTTGTATACTAACTTTTTAATAGAATTGACAAATTAAATTAAAAGTTATCAATTAGAAGTTAAAAAGAAAAAGGAATAAAAAAGATATAATATTATATTAATATCTAAATATATATATATACAAATAATACTTAACATTTCATAATAAACGGTTCTATTTGAAAATAAATGTTTAACACGCGTAAGCCGAAATTCTGATATGAAGTGTTCGAAAACTACAACATTCAAAGTGAATTTTGTGAATCTCCATTATTGAGGGACCGGTTTGGTAGAATATTTATGATGAAAATAAAAATGAAAAAAAAAGGCACATTTCTCGGAAGGGTGAAGCTTTTGGCATTTTAAATATAGTGGCAAAGTTGAAACGATCAACGTTTGAAAGCATGATGAAAGAAAATGCGATAAAGAAGCTAAGTAGTATATACCTTTCGCGGGCACGATGCGAGTTCCATTCGAATCTTTTAATAAAGTTTGTTCCTCGGGACCCACACTGAATTCCTTCTTTGTGTAACTGCCCGCCATTTTTCCGCAGTTTTCAAACTTAAATCAAATTAAGGCCTATGCAATATTGAGGGTTAATGCACTTCACGTGTTAGTTGGGTGGAGAGATAAATTTTCGATGGTCGTTTCGTCTGAATTTCGCAATGAACAGTCTCAATTTCGCCAGATGGACGGATGTTGTTCGAAATTCAAATAATCATCGAAAAACTTGAATTACAAGGAAATATTTAATTGCCATTTGCAGAGTTCTCCCAATTATTGTTGGATCTCGTTTTAAGAGGTGATACTTTATAAGCTTAATATCGGCATCACTGCATATTCGGTAGTTAAGGCTTTAAAGTCATGAATAGAACTGTTCTCCAACGTGCGAGACGTACCATCTTTCTGTTTTATTTTTATAGGTTAAGATAAGATAGGGGTTAGAGTTCGTCAACTGAGCTCCACGCTGCGCGGAGATTCACGAACTAGCTCGAGATGTTGCGGTACGCGCGCGCATCTGTAATATTCGAATCAACAAATAGAAAAAAATTTTGCACGATGAACTCAATTGATATGATTAATGTAAGGCAATTATTATTTTTTGATCGATGCGTTTATATCAAGTATTTCTGTATTTGGATGGCATTAGCATAAATATTGTTAATACATTCTGTATTTAAAATAGAAAATTTTATGTTTACGCGAATAAAAAAGAACAGAACGATGCCACGGTTTTCATTTTACGTTCGAGCACAAAATTATGGAATTTTATTTTTAAATAATTTTTGGTATATATCGTCGTGTTTTTATATGTATGTTTTTTAAAAACGACAGTTATAAATAATTTTTAAAAATCTTTTTATTAACTCCAAGTTTCAACTTGATACCGATTTTCATTTTCCAATCGTTTGACAAAATTTTCTGCTTCTTCTTCAGTTGATTTAGTTATTTCTTTAATTAAATTAACAAATTCTTCACGAACGCAGTTTGGCATATTTTTAGAATTACCTGCTAGATAAATGTTACCATTTCTATTAAGAAACTCCCAACAAAGTTGTTTTTGATTACGTATAATATGTTGTACATATCTGAAATGTGTACAAAAAAATGCGAGTGATACATTGAATAACTTACATATTTAAATTTTATATTCTTACATTTTATGCTCTTGATCTCTGGAGAATGCACAGAATAAATTTAAACCTTTTTGCAGTGATAAATATTCAAAATCATCTTTACAATGGTAATCTTTTTCCTTGTTTCTACAGCCAAAGAAGAGAACACAATCACTTAAATTGTCATTTAACGCACATTTATCTAATATAGCTGAACGAAATGGTGCAACTCCTGTTCCAGGACCAATGAATATCATTGGCTTATCATACTCAAATTTAAATGTTCCTTTTTGTACCCAAAATATTATTTTGTCTTTCTCTTTTAAACTTGCCAACCAATTAGAGCACAATCCATACCTTGGCTCTACCAGTTTTGTTTTATATTTTACTACAGCTACTAAGAGATGAATTTCATTTTTAGTAATCCTTAAACTTGAAGCTATGCTAAAAGCACGAGGTTTTATAGGAAACATAATCTCAAATAATAATTTTACATTTAATTTCCTAGTTGTATGAGGAAAATCCGCTAGTAACTCCAAAATAGTTCTTCTTGGCCTATTGATGTAATTGTATAATTCTTCTTGACCACTTGCTGTTGTAAATTCATATAACTTTTCCTTTTCTAATTCATTTTCACTAATAAAAGATAATAATTGCATTGTAGATCTGCGTGGTTTAAAGCTTAAATCCCAATATTGCTCTACAATTTGGTGTAAAGTTAGAATTTGCTTTAGAACATTAGGCACTTTAATTTCTTTTTTGGTTACTTGAATTAGCATATCTGGATTTAATTGTACATTATTCTCATTTAATATATTAAAAAATCTTTCAATCTGTCTTGGAGAGTTCTTGGGTCTAACATATACTATATCTCCAGGTTGATAATTAATGTTATCTGATCTAAATTTAATCAATCTAACATCTTGAAAATGATCTTGTGCAGTGGTTCTTGTATTTTCAATTATTGTGCCTACTTTTGCTTCATTATTAAACACCTCTTTCATGAAAATATCATGAGTTAAGCAATATTCATTATTCATGAAATTTCTATTTATCTCTGAAATATGAAATCTTTCAATTATGTTATTTTGGTTACTGATCAAATCTATTGTAGGAAGGTTAAATGTATTTCCAACTTTTGTCCACATTTCTTCTAACCACGGATCGACAACAGCATCAATTCCTAAATCATGTTGATCATCTGCCAGCCCAATAGGTAACAGTTCCTTTGCGCCTAATTGCATCAACCTTTTGTTTAATTTCTTTGCTGCAAAATTAAATTTTTGATAGGAACTATCGCCTAAACCTAATATTCCATATTTTGAATTGGCCAGCAATGTTGTTGGTAGATTCTTTCGCAATATAAGTCTCCAGAATTGTCTCATATTATTAGGAGGATCTCCTTGGCCTGCAGTTGCCACCACAAACAGCATCACTTTCTCTGAATCAAGATTTTCAATGTGATAATCATTCATTGCAGACACGCTACTTTCCAAGCCTTTTCTGAAATGAAATCAAAAAGAAATTTGTAAAACGATATTTCTAACACTGGCATCTTTAATTGTACTATAAAACAGCATCGATAAGGTTCTTGATGGCAATTAACAATTTCAAGCTTTCCAAATACAAAGCAACATACGTATATTTCTGTATACATGTGCAATAGAGGAAGGACAATAACAAAACCTTTTGGCACTTTTCCAAATCTGTTCAGCCACATCTTGTGCAGTACCTGTCTCGCTACCGTACAATATCGTAATTTTCATAATGTTCTTTGCCATAAAAAGATCTCAGCTGCAAGTATTCTAGTGAAAAAGGAGCTCGTATCGCGTCGCAACCGTTCTATTACTGATCTTCAGCTGGTACACCGTGACGTCATTGGTTGTTTAGCAGACGATGCCTGGAAAAACGTAAACGCGAATGTGGTACGTAAACAGTAAAAAAAGTAGAAAGAATTGTTAAATGTCTTACTCAATCAAATGTCAAGGATAGATGTCTAGGCTAAGTCCCATTTGGCACTTAGCCCAAAATATTTATAAATAAAAAATAACTTTCTGCGCGCGTTGCATGAACGAATGATTTACCGCGACTATTTTGTATCATAATTATGCCGCTCAAGGATTGCTTATACAATACAAGTATCTCGGTAAATCTGCGAGTTTCTTTGCGAAACAAAAGCGACTGAATTCTTTGAAATTAATGCAAGAGCATCTGCAAGCAAAAAAGAGCAAAGGAAGGAGAGATTCAAGTGCATGTTAAAAGCCGGAAGTTGATACGACACCAGTGTAACCATAATACGAAATATCCATTGACTATTTACAATATTCTTGGATGGATAATCATTTGTACGAGTCTCAATAGCTTCCGTGAGCAAATCAATTTATGAATAAGTCATAGTTAGGATCGTCTGCGGACAAATTGCGTGACGTAACTACGTGAAACGTCGGGCGACGAGGTATGAGTTGGCAGCACTGACATCTGTTTGCGAATGATTGTCAAAACCTATTTTCTCAACGAAGTCCGCAGTTTTGCATGCCAGTATCGTAGGAAAACATCATGACTGCGTTCGATTCGTAGAGAGAAAAGAGGCGGAGAGTGCAACCGCGAGACAGATAGCGTATCCGTTTCGGAGGAGTGAGTGAGTGCAGAGAAAGTTTTCTCGTCTCGTTTCGCTCGTCGCGTTTCACCCGTTCGACGAGTGACGTGCCTCGGGTCTTCGTCGGTGGGGAAGAAGATTTACTTGGATATTAACGCAAAAACTCAAGAAGACGCGGGCTTCCTCCTTCGTGAAGAATCCATCGCGCGACCGTGCGTCTTAACCTTTTTTTCTATTGTTTTAAATGCGATTAAAGCGAACCGCTAGCCGTGGTGTGTGATTCCTACGGATCGACAACTGTCCTCACGTCACTTTCGTCAGCGATCGACCGATGCATAGTACTTCGATGGAGCTTATTCGCGCGTGACACCAACTTTCGGGACACCAGGCTCGACTTTTGCCAGGTAGCCCCAATTCCGATCTACCACCACGTGTATATAAACTTTACTTTGTTTCGGACAAATTCTATTCATCCGTTTATCCTTGACGCGACGCTTGCACGACACGCAGAGGTCAGTCACATTTCAAACTTTGATTACAGTTTACCGCGTTTTGATTTTGAAACGTCTTAGCTTTGTTGAAAGATTCAATGTCACGCTATCGTAGAAACATCCGTTCGCACATTGTTATTATTCGTACTGTGTATATTATTTATATGCGATTGTGATTTAAAATCCAAATAATGTAAATAAATTGGCTCGTAATGTGTTCTTCATCTTATGTTTTTTTGAATATATATTCGTTAACGTTACGAGAATTATACGTTGGTAGAGTTGGTATTTCTGTTACTATTTAATGATACACATCATTATTTCTAATGTATCATGTTCCTTTCTTCATTAGTTATATCGTTTCTTTCTTTACTTTGCAGATTTTGGTAGCTGTCTACATTTACATAACTGTGGCAGCTTTTATTTTCCTACATACGATCAACATGTTTACCACATGACATGAACTTCATTCTGTGACAAGTACATAATATCATTAATATTTATGGAAATTATCTTTGCGTCGTATTTTATGACACAAAATATGAGAAATTTTATTATTACATGCAATAACAATTTAACAAGTATTTAATGTAACTTTTGACACCACGTTTATGCTTTATAAATAATTTTAAGTAGCGTACCAACATCACATTGTCTATACATTAAAGACAATAATATTTACACAATAAAGGGCCATATAGAGAAAATGAATAGCAGGCTTGAAGAACAAGAATCAAAATGGACATGTGAATATTGTACATACGAGAATTGGCCTTCATCACTGAAATGCACAATGTGCAGAGGTGCCAAGCCTTTGTTAGGGGAGGATATTTATCGCCTAAGAGATCCAAGTCCCCAGAGGTCTGGATCAAACGTTGCATCTGGCCCAGTAACTCATTTAAGTCCAACAGATTCTTACAATCTTAGTTCTCAAAATGTACCATTGGGAAAGTGGTCTTGTACAATGTGTACCTATCTTAATTATCAAAATACCACACGTTGTGTTCAGTGTGGAAATAGAAAACCTACAGGTCTCAATCAGTCAATACACTCCTTAGCCTCAAATTTGCATGAACATCTAGCACCTCTTAGGCTAGGAGATCCGCCACCAAACTCAGGATCAAATCCTCCTCCAATAAACTTACATCCGGAAAGATATTACAATTTACAAACTAATTTACATCCTGAAAAGTGGTCTTGTCTTATATGTACTTACGAAAATTGGCCAAAAGCCACAAAGTGTGTGATGTGTGGTAATCCTAAAGAAAAAGATAGAAGAGACAGAACAACTAATAATGTGGGTGTTATTTTACCAAGTCCAGAAAGAGATCATAGTCAACGTAACTTACCTTCTCCACCTCATGCACCTTATATACATCAAAACCAGAGAGATGAGAATTTGGCTGTGGGACGAAGGTAAACTTATTTTGTATATTTGTTTTGAGAATGATTGATTATTACTCAGAATTTATCGGTAGAATTAGCAAGAAAATTGAATCTATTTGAATCTATTATAGGTTTTCTTATATTGTAGGACTTCACATAGATATCCTGATAGCAGAAATGACAATTTGTCAACTCCTCAATCCCCTAATAATTGTGATTATGAGCGTAGACTAAAACAATTGAGGCGTCATACAGATTGGTGCTGGTTAAATGCGTGTCTTGGCATTGTGGAAGGCGACAATGCTCCTGTTGAAGCTTATTTAGCAAGTGGTGGTGATCCTGCTCGTCAATTGACGCATTCAGAAGTTCTGCTTCTAAATAGAAGTAGTGCTTTTGATGTTGGACATACCTTAGTACATTTAGCTATTAGGTCTGTGGGAAGTAATTTTTGACAAAGGATTTTTTTTATAAAGCTTATTTTATATAATTATATGAGTTTATATATTCTTTGGCAATTATTTAAATTTGTTCATATGTAGCAAAGTAAATCAACTATTATTGACAAAGATATAATTTTCAAATTGTCCTTTATACAATTCTGTTGTATTTTTAACAGATTTCAAAGAGAGGATATACTAGCAACATTATTATCACAAATTGAAGGTTCTGGATCTGGAGTAAAAAGAGTACCAAGTTATGTTGCACCAGATTTGGCTGCTCAAATACGCAGACATGTCACTAATAGTATCCGGTTACGCAAGGGTTCTTTTCCATGTTATTTTGTCACTGATATAGCTACATTTGCTTTGCCTGCTGAGGTTACTATAACATTATAATTCTTTCTTTGTAGTATTGCGGAATGTTAAGATTTGTTAAAGATTCATTTCTAGATATATAACGTAAGTTACGTAAATAATATTTAAATATAAAATTACTTGTTAGGTTGAAGATTTACCAAGTATAGTGCAAGAACAAATGTTGGAAGAATTATTGGACAAAGAAGCTCAACAACAATTAGAAGGTGGTGGTGGAGAACCACCAGCATTAAATTGGTCTTTAGAAATTACTGAACGTTTAGGAAGTCGCTTACATGCACTTTGGAATAGATCTGCTGGAGATTGTTTGTTAGATTCTGTAATGCAAGCTACTTGGGGCGTTTTTGATCGAGATAATGCTTTAAGAAGAGCTCTTGCTGATTCTCTACAACAAGCTGGTCAATTGTAAGCAATTTTTATATTATTCTTTTTATCTGTTTTTTTGTGTATGTTGTAACAACATGTATTTTTAATGCAGTTTTTATCCTCGATGGAGAGAATACGAAGCATCTCAAGCGTCTAGAATGTTGGATTTTACATTAGAAGAGACTCAGTGGCAAGAGGATTGGGAAAGTTTACTAGCAACAGCTGCTCAACCAGGGAGTGCTTTGGAGCAGTTACATGTATTTGCTCTTGCCCACATTTTAAGGCGACCTATTATTGTTTATGGGGTTAAATATGTTAAAAGTTTTAGGGGCGAAGATATAGGTAAATATCCATTGCAAAAAAATTCATATATGCACTCATTGTGTAATTAAATAAAGTATTTTCATACAGGTTATGCAAGATTTGAAGGTGTTTACCTTCCACTTTTATGGGAACCTTCATTTTGTATTCGTTCGCCTATTGCTTTGGGTTATACGCGTGGACATTTCACGGCTTTAGTTCCCATTGAACCATACGCATCGTCCAGAATACCACCTCTTTCATCTCATGGTGGTGGTAATAGTCCACTTCAACAGTTGCAAATACAAATGCAGACAACATTCATGCCATTGATGGACCGAGAACATAAACTTTTACCAATACATTTTCTGAGTTTGGAAGAAGTAGGCCGAGAAGAATCTATTTTAAAAGAATGGCTTGACGTATGCAGAACTGAAGGTGGTATCCTTGTTGCGCAACAAAAACTACACAAAAGACCTTTATTAGTAGCACAAATGCTAGAAGAATGGCTAAATCATTATCGAAGACTCGCGTAAGTAATTTTACACTTGAAAACATTTCGTTTGGTATACATTTTGGCCTAGATATAGAGTTAAATTATTTTTGTCGTTACAGTCAAACTAACAATGCACCTTTTTTGAGACCAGCAGTTTTACAAGATTACAGTAGCGACGGAGATACAGAAGACGAATAACGAGGTGGAATCGAAGTTATCAAATTCAACAGAGAAGACCTTTTTCATAATTTCAACACAAGATCTCAGAGATTCGCAGTTTTTTGAATACAGCAAAAGAAGGTGTATGAATGTTACGACACACACGTTCATTGACAATGTATCATTTTCGAATGATATTTGTACATTAATATTGGTTGTTGAACCACAGAACATCTAAAGTCTCATCGATTCGTATTATTTAATTATACAAGTAGTTACTGTATTATTCTGTTGTTACTTAATCACGAGACTGCGCAATAAGTAGTTCTGTTGCCAAAGTGCGATTTTGGGTATCAAAGCAGTAAGTTAACGAGTGAAATTTTTTGTTACAGCTAGTAGTGTTTCAATTAGAGTTAGTTTTTCTCGATAAGTTGAGTATTATCGAGGATATGTAATGTTAATCTTCACAATATGTTTACGACTAAACTGTTGTGTCTGTAACACCAATAAGAGTTCCTTCAACGTGCGGTGACCAAAGTAAGGACATGATTCACTTTCCAAAATATCAAGTCAAGTAGCCTCTATCTGAATACATTCATGTTCACGAATAGTAAAATCTACATAATGCCAGAAATAATTACAGATTCATGTCTTAATATCACTTGACAACCATTAATGATGTTAAAGTCACCTCCATGAAATTTTGACAATTCTGAACTCGAGATAGAGTGTTCAGTTTATAACATTTATGTATAATTAGCTAGCAAGTTTATTTTCTTTATTCAATGAGAAGAGCACAACGGTTGTTTAACATTAGTAATTGCATTGTAATTTCTCTGAGTCTCTTGAAGTTAGAAATTGTTAAACTACAAGCTGAAAATGACAAGGATCCAAAATATATAGATAATCTACTTTGTGATCTCGTTGAGAGATACAAATTCGATCTCTATCTCTCATTGTTAAAAAAATATACGAATAATTGTATATTTTGAGTTTAAAATCCATAATGGGATACAAAGTTCGTATCTAAGTTAATTAAGATTTAATGTAAAAAAACATCGATATTTTATTTTTTGGTTGCTTTCATAAAATGTGTCACAAAAATTGTGCAAAATGCATTACTGTTATATTCATAGAAAGTAAAGGAATTAAGGATGAAAGGATTTTCGTTTGTAAGTTATGAAAAAAGAAAGAGAAAAGAAGAAAAAAGTGTATTTGACGAAGAATGTAAATTAGATGTTTGTAAAAATTATTGGTTGCACTTTTTGTCCGATCATACGTGTGAAAGTACTCAGAAACTCTGGTACGACTTATGTGATTTTTAAAGATAAGTAAACCTAAAGGCCGGAGAAAAAATTCTGTAATCGTCCTTTGATCACTTGTTAACTCTGAGCTGTGTTAATATTAATGTAAAAGTGAGTTGGCGAAACCGAATTACAACGACACTTTTCTCTGATTAGAGGCAAGGCGCAGCGTTGTACTTTTTCCGTAGTCGCTTCCGGTATGTGTAAACGTAATCGTATCGATTAAGATGTACTTTTTGCGAAAACGAAGGAGGTGAATAGAGCAAACGGAGGAAGAAGAAAGGAAGGGAGGAGAAGAAATTGAAGATGAAAATGAAGAGGGAAGAATGTGAAGAGGGGGTAGATAAAAGTATGACAAGAGCAACATTGTGCAAGTGGATCAATCGTACGTATGGTGTAGTCACCACGAATATAGCAGTAAAATAGAAACTTTTATAAAACAAGGTAAAAAAAAAAAAAAAAATGATGAAGCGAATATGAGAACAGAGAAACAAGTAGTACTATTTAAATACCAAGTTATATGCCTGGTGTGTGTGAGTGTATATATTATATACACTGTATATGTAATACGAGATATTCGTGAATGGACAAAGATTTAATGGTAACTAGCTCGGCCAAATAATGAACCCTAATCAAAAAAGTACAAAAAATCGTAAGAGGGAAATGATAACGTTTCTGTATGAGAACGTGTTATATTACACATGTGGTACCGCTTAAAGTTTAGTCTCGTTTTTACTAATTCTAATGTAGCCTCTAGTCCTTTTTAGCACTGTCGTTTTTTCTAATCACATGCGCAGCATGTGATTTAATTATTGCGTGATTATCTGAAGGGCTCGATAACGTTCGGATAGAAGAATGATGTTTCACAAGTCAATTCCAAAAAAAAATTAGAAAAAAAAGGAAAAAATGAAAAAAAAAAACAAATGTTTAACGAAGTAGCGCCGTGTCGAATGAGCAACGACTTTATCGTTATTTTATACTCTTTTTTTCTGTTTGTTCTTTTACATTTTTTTATTTTTTCCTTTCCCCTTGTCCAATTATGGCCTCGTTTACGTGAATTTAAGCGACAAGAGTACACGATCATTTTTCATCTGTTTGAAGAAAAAAAAAAAGAAAAGAAAAAAGAGAAAAGAGCGAAACGTTCTCGGGACACGGCGTTACATATGGTGGAATTATAATATAAAAAGAAGATCAACAAAAAGAAAAAAAAAAGACACTGATGGTGTATTTTCTTTCCCCTCGTTAATGTGTAAGTGTTTCTCGCTCGTGTTGCCAGAATTTACTCTTGGCAGGTGATAAAAGAAAAAAAAAAAATATAAAGATTTAAGAATTTAATTGAAATCAGAATAGAAGTCTATATTAATATAGAATATATAAAATAGATTATATTAAATATATAATATATCGATGTACAATAATTCTAAATGACGATTTATTATTATAATTACTATGATTATCATTATATTATATTATATATTATATTATATTATATTATAATATTATTATTATTAAATCTGTAATAAGAATTGTCAAGGTGAATTAATCAAATTTATGTTACTTCATGCCCTTCGACCCTGACACATGATCACACGTGTGAAAAGTGTTTCCGAATTGATCTGACATGCAAATAACAATTTTAAATTAAATCCGTCGATGCAACAGAAACGTTCGCATCTATCGAGTTACAATTTTCTGTTTAAAATCGAAAGCTGGGAACGAAGAGATTGACATTGCGTCGAATTTCTTATAAAGATCGTGTCATTTTGGACTTTCGTATTTTAAGTGTTTCGTTTCTGGTTTTCGTTTTTTCCTGCAAGAGAAAAAAAAAAAAAAAAAGAAAGAAAGAAGAAAAAAACGAGATATTGTATTAAAAGATTGGTTTGCGAAGAAAGCTGTCGACTGTGACTATATTGCAGTACTGTCGTCTGTGAGTTCGTCCGTTCGAGACCAAAACGATCTTCGATATTGTACACTTTACTACTCGTGCTTAACCGTTTTAGCGAAAGAAAAAAGAAAAAGAAAAAAAAAAAACTCACTCGACTATAATATAGTCGCGTGTAACCACCGCGAAAAAAAAGACAATCTCACGATACATGATAGTTGTAATCTAATTGATGTACTTACGTAAGGCAATCGAGGATACTTACGTAAAACCGGCTATCAAACGCGGCCAGTCGCGCTGCCCTCGTTATTGTTATAAAACGTTTGTTGGCTGTATTTAAGGTTTACTTTTCCCTACTTGCATTATTTTTTTCTTTCGTTGTGTTCTTCTTTCTCTTTCTTTCTTTCTTTCTTCTTTTGTCACACTCGTCGCTATCCAGAGGCAGGATTAGACCGTTCTAACTAGCATTGTCATAGGAAAACGATTAACGAGACAATTGCAAATTGCACTGTCGGAAACTTATTGTTAGCTGCGAGAGAGAGAGAGAGAGAGAGAGAGAGAGAGAGAGAGAGAGAGAAAGAGAGAGAGAGAGTCGCAGTGTTGCAAATCACGTTTCACGAACTTTCAAACACCAAGTTTAGGAATCGTTTAAAATTCCGAATTCTGTCTTCCTAAGCTGTGTATAAAAACATCGAAACTGATTCTTCTTACAAAGAGTAACGCTAACTCTTCGGGCGCCTCTGTTGGAAATTGACTTAGCATTTGATATCGCTGCAAAAAAAGAAAGAAAAAAAAAAAAAAAAACAAAAAAACGTATGTAGTACGTAGTTGGCCAAATTCGGAGTTTAACAAATTAGAGATTTTCTGAGAATTCGAGTTTATTAGTCCTATCAATCGTTTCCGATGTTTGCGTCGATGCTTTGTCGCACTTATAATTGGCAATATATTGTATCGATATTACGATCTTGCAACGGAATATGCTTCTCAGGTGTCTCGCGGCTCTTAATTGCCCTTCTCCAGTCCGCTAAGGGTGCGTTAAAAATGGGAAACGCCTGGTTGCTCTAACAGAAAGAAGAAAAAAAAAGGGGGGGGGGGAGAAGAGTACGATCACATCGACGAGATTTGCAATTTTTATTTCTACGGGGAACAGAGCTGTCGTGGATACAAATATGCATGTAAATAGAGTTTATATATAATGGTACTGCGCGAATACAGAAGCACTTAATAAACTGGATTATAACAAAGCTTGAAGACAAGAGAGAGATTTGTTATTTTATCAGACCATCGATCTTTCTACGTTTCACTTCCCTACGAAGGTCTTCGAAATTTAATCATTTCTAACTTAATAGCTCCTTTAAATTGTCCTTTAGCACGGTGAACTTTATACCAAATCTACACGTAGCTTTGATCAATCGAATAATTTTTAAACGAAGTTCTTTAGAGAATTTCGTTGGAGTGTTTCTTAAAACGACGTTTCTTAGCCTCCATCGAATTAATGAATTTGATTATAGACGTTTCGCAGAAGCAATCTTCGGCCATAATTCAATGGAAATTTGCTTCAACGTAACACGTATAATCTGATTATCTTTTCGCGGAGCTTTTTCAATTTCCATTAGACCGCGAACCAAGTCCATCGCGTAATTCGAATGTTTTCGATGCGCCAATGTATTTCATTACCGTAATAAGAGTATCCATGCGATAATTTCGAACTTCGACTTTTTTTTCCTTTTCGAAATCGCAGGTAGGGAAGAAAGAAATTCGATCGTTGAAAAATGATCAGTTATGGAACGAACAGAGGCAGGACGACGAAGACTTTAGCCAGGCAATATGCAGCATCATTCCTACAATTTTTCGTTCGTCGCGAGTTCGTCGAGAGATGAAAGATTGAATTTACACGAGGAAACAAAATTGTTTCCCTTCCGAGCTTCGTGCGCGAGTTACTGGCGTCGCCGACGATTAAAATTAACGTCGACGCAGAAATTTTCGCGCAGCTGTAGCACATTACTACCGAGGCAACGTAACTGGCGACTCGCACGATGGATCATAATTTTTGCAATTTTTCACACTGACAATTGCACTGTCTTCCGTTACGTTGAGAGAAATTTAACTGAAGAGCAGACGTTTTGTCTGAGCGAAGAGAAAAAGAAGCTTGCTGGTGCCGATCCAATCAGAAAAATCTTTCAGTTTCTTTCAATTTCTCAGAAGTGTCCAGTGTATTTCTGATATTTCAAATTGTTTCTTTTTTTTTTTTTTTTTTTTTTTAAATAAAATAACGAGATCATTTTTAATTTGACGGATCTGTTAAATTATCTAATAATTATAATAATCGTCAAAATAATAATAAAGATCATTCTAATAATTTAGCTAATTTCATCAATCTAAGACATAGGTCTCTTAAATAAAATCATTTTCAATTTAATGGATCTGTTATTAATCTAATAATTATAATAATCATTAGAATAATAATGATAATAATTAGTCTAATAAATCTAATAATTTACCAAATTTCAATCTAAGATACACAGGTTTTCTAAATAAAATCATTTTCAATTTAATGGATCTGTTATTAATTTAATAATTATAATAATCATCAGAATAATAATGATAACAATTATTCTAATAAATCTAATAATTTAGCAAATTTCACCAATCTAAGATACATAGATCTCCTGAATAAAATCATTTTCAATTTAACGAATCTGTTATTAATCCAATAATTAGAATAATCATCAAAATAATAATGATAATAATTATTCTAATAAATCTAATAATTTAGAAAATTTCAATCTAAGACACACAGGTGTCCTAAATGAAATCATTTTCAATTTAATGGATCTGTTATTAATTTAATAATTATAATAATCATCAGAATAATAATGATAACAATTATTCTAATAAATCTAATAATTTAGCAAATTTCACCAATCTAAGATGCATAGATCTCCTGAATAAAATCATTTTCAATTTAACGAATCTGTTATTAATCCAATAATTAGAATAATCATCAAAATAATAATGATAATAATTATTCTAATAAATCTAATAATTTAGCAAATTTCAATCTAAGACACACAGGTGTCCTAAATGAAATCATTTTCAATTTAACGGATCCATTTATTACTAATCCAACAATTATAATAATAAATTTAACAATAACGATAACCATTAAAATAAAAATTCGAAAGAGAGAAAGAGAGAGGTTCAAACGACCCAGTTTTTGCCTGCGTACGATTGAATTCCACTATTTAGCGACATGATGCAGAGATGCTCGTGCAAAATCTTTCTGGCCTGACAGTAAACTTTCATTATCGAAAAGTTGACCAGCGAGACAATCGGAAGTACCATTCTTTCCTCCAGCGTGAAACGTCGACGTCGGCCCGGCTTAATTAAACCCGCAAAGTCCGTTACGTAAGCTTTCGGAACTAGTCGATCTTCCCCCATGCTCGCCAATCGTTCGTCCACTCCACGAATGCTGTTTCCTAATTCACAGTCACTCCGGAGAGACCTTCGTAATTACTGTCGTTTTAATGATGGCCCATCGTTCACACCGGCGACCTAATTCCTAAGTGGTTCACCCGGCTCAACCCTCTAACCAGTCTAACCCATCACGTTATCCCACTCTCTCTCTCTCTCTCTCTCTCTCTCTCTCTCTCTCTCTCTTTCTTTTTTTGTCTGTCTAGCGGAATAATTTACTCTGTTTTCTTTTTTTCTTCGCTTTCTCTTTTTTCCCCTGTCGATCGGCGAAAGCACAGAACGATTGTTTTTCAAGTGTTGTTAGGATCGGCACACGGCCGGTGTCCTCGAGACCCTCGATCAACCGGTGCGCGAGATTGTTCAATTAGCGTGACAATTAACCCCCTTGCCCTCGGCCCATTTTTACGCCACGTCGATTCAGAAATTAAATGTCTGTCGTATTTATTTATATCTAGTTTTTTTTTTTTAAATAAATTTGATCTATATATATATATATATATATAATAATTAATTAAATCGTATTGTTTAATTAATTTTATTATGTAAAAAGTTTGTAGGATAAACTATAATATACTATAAACTAAATTACATAATATTGTAATATAATAATATTGTAATGTAATAATTTATAGAATAAACTATAATATACTATAAACTAAATTACATGATATTGTAATGTAATAATTTATAGGATAAACTATAATATACTATAAACTAAATTACATAATATTGTAATATAATAATATTGTAATGTAATAATTTATAGAATAAACTATAATATACTATAAACTAAATTACATGATATTGTAATGTAATAATTTATAGGATAAACTATAATATACTATAAACTAAATTACATAATATTGTAATATAATAATATTGTAATGTAATAATTTATAGAATAAACTATAATATACTATAAACTAAATTACATAATATAGTAAT